ACAAAAATTATGGAATCACACCCTTAAGAATTCCACCGTCACATCTCACAAGCTTGATATCAAAATTTCACATTAACCACGACACCAATACAAAGTCTTAAGCTATAAAATTTATCCTTCTTAAGCAATAAAAGATTAAAAACTGTTAGCCCTTTTAAAATTAGTCAAATAATCGTCTAACACTGTAAAAGCACGTCGAAACAAGCTTCTAATTGATATTCATATGGCAAAATTAGTCAAATAATCGCCCTTTTAAAATTTTCAAGGAAGGCACTCAGTTTCTAAATCAATCTCTAAAGGACAGTGGGAGAAGAAGCTTCAAACTGATATTCATATGGCAAAACAAGTTTTGTGTGAGGCTCTATCCCTTTGTAAATCTTACAATAATTTGCCTAATTTAGAGCCTTCTCCAATCCGAACATCTTCATATGCATCAAAAAATCCCCCAAGTAATCTCAAACGGGATCGGGAAGTACTCAAAATTCCTTCAACAACCCTTCAGTTTTGTTAAAATTTTCAATTTTCACCATGAAAGTTTGAGCACAAAAAAATCAATTCCATATATATATTGAAGGAGAGTAAGTTTAAATTTAGTGCAATGTAAATTTTCACTTTTTACCTTGAAAGCCTAAGCAGAAAAAAAATCACTTCCATATATAGATTGAAGGAGAGTACATTTTAAATAACAATAGAACCAGTAAATAGAAACTATAAAACAACAAAGAAAAATTAAAGGATTTGCCAAGAAATGCTAAAAACTACATAAATTAGAGAGTAAAATAGGAGAATAAAGAGGAAGGTATTTACAGGCATGAACCCATCAAATTAGGTGGCTATGAAACTAGAGGAAATACCAGAAGACGGAGAGTGGAGACTGGAGAGATCGGCATTCGGAAAGGTATCCACTTTCGATCCGAATTCAGGGTTGGAATATGGGGATTCCTTGGTCGACCCGAATTCGTTCTTCTGTGCTGGCACAATGACGAACAGATGAATTTCATCCAGGATCTGTTCGCTGCCTGCATCCCCAGTGATAAGATATTGGAATCTGATATGACTGTTCGTGGATCGGTTCTGTTTGGTAACCGAACCGACCCAAAACTTTCGGGTATTTAATAAATGGAACCATCGGATCCAAATATAATTATGGAACCGTTCGGGTTCGGCTCCATTGGGTTCTGTTCCGTACCATAATTAATATTTTTAATATTTACAACAACACTACATAAATACAACTAATGACATTTCATTCCTAACTTTTACAAATTAACGTAGCCCAGTTCAAAAACATATAAATAACTAACCGTCCAATAAGATTAATTCAATGCATACAAAAATCAAAAAGTAGATATTAATATTACAAATTTAGTGGCCATGAAACTAGAGGAAGTACCAAAAGATGGAGAGTGGAGACTGGAGAGACTGGCGTTCGAAAAGGCGTCGACTCGATGTGAAGAATTTGTTGGAGTTGAGAGGGAAGGAGACGGAGCCCATCCTGCTGATTCGTTTAGTGCGTAAAAAATAGGGAAATTAGGCCCACTACTCTAAAAAAGAAACAAATTAGATTAAGAAATTAGGCCCACTACTCTAAAAAAGAAACAAATTAGATTAATACACTTAACATAAATTTAAACCTCTAATCTCCGTAATTTATACGTCCAAAAACCCACTCCATTCAATTACATACATACATAGACACAATGATTTCGCTCACGATTTTTTCAAATTCTTCATCAACGTCATCCCGTTTTTCTCCAAATTTCGGTGCGCTTCGAATATTAATTATATTCCAACATAATTCATCCACAAATTCACACTACCATCCATGAAAATTTCAAGAAATGAAATGGTGAGTAAATGAATTTCCACTTTCAGTTTCACTTTCGATCCGAATTTAGGGTCGGAATATGGGGATTCCTTGGTCGACCCGAATTCGTTCTTCTGTGTTGGCGGTGGAGGAGAAGAAGACAATGATGAAAGATGACCTTCATCTCGGATCTGTTGGAGGCCCGCATCCCAGTGATCAGATATTGGAATCTGATATGGTTGTCAGTGGGTCGATTCGGTTCGATTCTGAAGAGAACCGAACCGACCCAAAACTTTCGGGTATTTAATAAATGGAATCGTCGGTGTGAATTTCATCTCTGATCTGTTCGAGGCCCACATCCCCAATGATCATATATTAGAATCTGATATGGCTGTTCGTAGATCGGTTCGATTCGTTTCTCTTCACCCAAAACTTTAGGGTATTTAATAAATGGAACCATCGGGTGCAAATATAATTATGGAACCGTTCGGATTTGGTTGCATTCGGTTCAGTTCGGTTCCTTACATAATTAACTTTTTGAATATTTACAGCAACACTATATAAATACAACTAATAAAATTTCATTCGTAACTTTTACAAA